CTGAACTGTCTCCCCTAGCAAAAACTGTGTTCGCTATGGTACGCTGGGCGATCCTAAAGGCAGGGTGAATAATGGCTGTGGCCTTATCAGTTCTAGGGTTATACCCAAACAGCCCTGTGATTTTTCTCCAAAATTCACCCGCCATATAGTTACGGGGTTGCCTATCCTTAGGCCCCATAGTTCCAGAAACAGGCCACCCAAAAGCTTGGTTAACTCTCGCTACGGACATTCTATGTTGGGCATTCATGAGCTGGAAGGTCATGTAACGGGGGATCTTGTGGTGTCACGGTGCACACAAAGGGAGGAGAGGAATTCTAGGGTCAGTCTCCTATAGGTTAAGGCATGTAACTCTAGCCAAGAACCTAGGTCGGCTCCCTCGAATAACATTGTAATGTCAGCTCCTACCCCTAAGGCGTCCGCCACCTCACTATCATAGAATTTGGTGGGCTTGACCCGCCTCCTACTGATTTTAAGGAAATTGGCCGAAAAGGCCTGGTCAGCGAAAACTATTCCCATTGTGTCCACTTGCGGTGGATCAACGGGAGGAGGAGGCGATGGGTTCCTAAATCTAAGGGAAGAGGTGTTTCGGGATTGGTTTCTTCTTGGCATGGTTGTTTTTATTTTGTTTTATTTAGAATGACTAAACCCGCCACACAAAGAGATCAAGACACTAAACCAATTCACCAAGTAATTTTAAGGTCAACAACCCAAGACTTAGCCACACCCAAGGACACCACAAAGAATAATCCACACAATCACAAAAACTCACAAAACCTAAAACAATTAATCCTCACAATATTCAATTAAACCCATAATGCTTTACATAAAAGCACAAATACTCAAAAACTATCAATTCAACCAAGATTGCAAGCAAAAATAAGCACAAAACAACAAGTTTCAAGTATGGAAATAGTAAGTGGAAGGAACGATTATACCGAGCTTAACGTGGGTGTAAAAACCCGCAAATGAACCTTCCTAGCCTTCCTTTCCCTTGCTTGAACCTTTTCCTTCAACCAATTGTTAAAATTTCAATCCAAAAGAAAACCCCCAAATTGATTTTTTTCTTCTTAGGGTTTCGGTTAATGGGTGATTTTTGGGTTGAAGATTGGAGAAAGGAGTAGTATTTTGCGTTTTTATTGAAAAGGAGTGTTGATTATGGTGGGAAATGTTGAATTTTGGGTGAGAATTTGAGTGTTTGAGGGTTGAGAGGAGGAGTAAGAGGGGTTAGAGAGAAGGAGGAGAACCGTGGGTTTTAAGAGGAAGAACAAAAAAAAATTGCGGCTTTTTTTCTCTTTTTTTTTTTCGAGCAGTTTCGGCCTTAAATACTTGGTATGCACGGACGTGCAGCATTGGCACGGACGTGCAGCTCAAGTCAGAACGTGCTTAACTTTCTGCCTGTAAAAGCACGGACGTGCCATTATCGGCACGGACGTGCTGCTTTTGGCACGGACGTGCTGTATCTTGCACGGACGTGCTTAACTTGGCAGAATACTTCTCAACTTTCTGCCTTCCTTAACACGGACGTGCCATTTTCAGCACGGACGTGCTGCTTTTGGCACGGACGTACTGTATCTCGCACGGACGTGCTTAACTTGGCAGAATACTTCTCAACTTTCTGCCTTCCTAAACACGGACGTGCCATTTTCAGCACGTCCGTGCTGATTGGCAGGCACGTTTACTCTCCCCTTTGTCGTTGGAAATCTCAATGGCGCCATATGGGAATACCTTTGTAATGGTGAAAGGGCCACTCCATCTTGATTTTAGCTTTCCCGGAAACAACTTCAACCGGGAGTTAAATAGCAAGACCTTGTCACCCTCCTTGAACTCTCTCTTGTTGATGTGCTTGTCGTGCCATGCTTTGGTCTTCTCCTTGTAGATCTTTGCACTCTCATATGCATCTAACCTCAACTCTTCCAAGGCATGGAGGTCAAGCATCCTCTTTTCTCCAGCGGATTGGATATCAAAATTCAAGGTTTTGATAGCCCAGTGCGCACGATGTTCCAGTTCCACCGGTAGATGGCATGATTTCCCATAAACGAGCTTGTAAGGGGTGGTGCCAATAGGAGTCTTGAAGGCGGTGCGGTAGGCCCATAGAGCATCATCCAACCTTGATGACCAATCCTTCCTTGACCTATTCACCGTCTTCTCTAGTATCAACTTAATCTCCCTATTTGAAATTTCAGCTTGACCACTTGTTTGAGGGTGGTAAGCCAATGACACCTTGTGCCTCACTCCGTATTTTTTCAAGGAGAGCCTTGAAAGATCGCTTTGCAAAGTGCGATCCTCCATCACTTATTACGGCACGTGGCACACCAAACCTAGGGAAAATGACTTTCTTGAACAACTTGACCACTACCTTAGCATCATTTGTAGGAGATGCAACCGCTTCAACCCACTTTGATACATAGTCGACGGCCACCAAAATGTATTTGTTCCCAAAAGAGGATGAGAAAGGTCCCATAAAATCTATTCCCCACACATCGAAAATTTCCAGCTCTAAAATGTTATTCAAAGGCATTTCATTCTTTCTTGACAAATTACCGGTCCTTTGACACCGGTCACAAGCTTTAACAACTCCCCACACGTCCTTGAACATAGAGGGCCAATAGAAACCGCATTGCAATATTCTCGCCAATGTCTTGTTAGCACTCATATGTACTCCACAAGGTGAGGAGTGACACATTGTGATAACTTCATGAATTTCATCGTCGGGGACACACCTTCTAAAAAGACCATCAACACCTTGTTTGAAGAGCAAGGGGTCATCCCAAAAGTATTGGCGGACATCATGGAGGAACTTCCGCTTTTGTTGATAGGTGAGGTCGGGAGGAAGGATGGAGCAAGCCAAGTAATTTGCAATATCCGCAAACCATGGGGCCGGGCTTGAATGATTGCGAATAATTGATCATCCGGGAATGAATCATCAATTGGAAAAGCTTCAATTTCACCTTCTACGATCGGTAGCCGTGAGAGATGATCGGCTACTACATTCTCGGCACCCTTCTTGTCCCGAATTTCTATATCGTAGTCTTGTAAGAGCAAGACCCACCTAATCAACCTTGGTTTAGCGTCCTTCTTGGACAGCAAGTACTTCAAAGCCGCATGGTCGGTGAAGACTATAACTTTGGAGCCCACCAAGTAAGACCTAAACTTTTCGATAGCATGGACGATGGCTAGGAGCTCTTTTTCAGTCGTTGTGTAGTTTCTTTGTGCTTCATCAAGAGTTTTGCTAGTGTAATAGATGGCATGGAGCTTTTTATCCTTCCTTTGCCCAAGCACAGATCCAACGGCATAGTCCGAAGCATCACACATGAGTTCAAAAGGGAGCTCCCAATTCGGTGGTTGAATGATGGGAGCCGTGATCAAAGCTTCCTTCAACCTATCAAAGGCTAGCAAACAATCATTAGAAAACACAAAAGGGGCATCCTTTACCAACAATTGAGTGGGCGGCTTAGCGATTTTGGAAAAAATCTTTAATGAACCGGCGGTAAAAACCCGCGTGTCCAAGAAAACTCCTTATACCGTTCACATTAGTGGGGGAGGGAGGCGCTCAATAACCTCAATTTTGGCACGATCAACCTCAATGCCCCTACTAGAAACAACATGTCCCAACACAATACCCTCTTCAACCATGAAATGACATTTTTCCCAATTAAGAACAAGGTTCACCTCTTGACATCTTTTTAACACTTTAATCAAATTACTTAGGCAAGTGTCAAAAGATGAACCGCAAACAGAAAAGTCATCCATAAATACCTCGATTGATGATTCAAGCATGTCGGAAAAGATAGACATCATACACCTTTGAAATGTAGAAGGTGCATTACATAATCCAAATGGCATCCTTCGATAAGCAAAGGTGCCAAAAGGGCATGTGAATGTAGTCTTCTCTTGATCCTCGGGTAGGATAGGGATTTGGAGGAATCCCGAATACCCATCCAAGAAGCAATAGTGACTATGTGATGCCAACCTTTCCAAGATTTGATCGATAAAGGGGAGAGGGAAGTGGTCCTTCCGAGTGGATATGTTCAATTTTCGATAGTCTATGCACATTCTCCACCCGGTGACCGACCTTGTAGAAATGGTCTCACCCTTATCGTTCTTGATAATGGTCATGCCCCCTTTTTTTGGAACAACTTGAACCGGGCTAAACCACTTGCTATCGGAGATAGGGTAGATTATGCCCGCTTCATGAAGTTTCAAAACCTCTTTTTTAACAACTTCTTTCATGTTGGGGTTGAGCCTTCTTTGGTGCTCAATTGAGGAGTCATGATCATTATCAAGCAAAATCTTGTGCATGCATATCGTGGGACTTATCCCCTTAATGTCATCAATGGCATACCCAATGACACTCCTATACTCCCTCAACACAACTAGGAGTTTCTCAAGGGAAGTGTCATCAAGGTTGGTATTGACAATAACGGGATAAGTCTCATTATCATCAAGAAAAAACGTATTTAAGTGAAGGGGGAAGGGGTTTAAGTTCAACCTTAGGAGGAGGCGTAGACCTCTCTTCTTTTACCTCCACCTTAAGTGCTTCAAACTCCCTTGCCTTGCCATGTAGGGGTTGGTCTAGCAACAACTTGTACCCCTTAGCTTCATCATCATCATTGTACAAACTTTCCGTGAGGATCGCTTGTAGAGTATCTTTGCTATTGTTCATCATCTTCAATTCCTCCACTTCTCGGTCAAGAGTATCGATTCTATTGATATCCTCATACATAGGCTTCCTCATGGCTTGCGAGAATGAGAAAGAAATTTTCTCATCTCCCACATTCAATGTTAGCTTGCCTTGTTTCATATCAATTACCACTCCCGCCGTGTTCAAGAACGGCCTTCCCAAAATGAGAGGAACCTTGTTGTCCTCCTCCATTTCCATCACCACAAAGTTACAAGGTACAAAAACTCTTCCCACTTGTACCGGTACATCTTCAAGTATTCCCATTGGTAACCTAACCGAACGATCGGCTAATTGTATTGAGATTCTTGTTGGCTTCATCTCACCAACTTTTTAAATTTTTCGCAATTGAGAAGGGCATCAAGCTTACACTTGCCCCAAGATCACAAAGAGCATCCATGGCTTCCATATCTCCAATCTTCACCGGATTTGCATAGCTACCCGGGTCACCAAGCTTTCGGGGAAGGTTGTTTTGAATGATTGCGCTCACCTCCATTGGAAGGGAGATGGTTGCACTCTCTTCAAGCCTACTTTTGTTGGACAAGAGATCTTTTAAAAATTTCGCATATGTAGGCATTTGTGACATAGCATGAAGAAAGGGAATGTTCACTTGGAGCCCTCTCATGACCTCAAGGAACTTTGAAAACTTCTCATTCAATTTTTTCTCTACCAACCTATGAGGGAAAGGAATAGGTGGCTTGTAGACTCTCATTGGGGGTTTCTCCACTTCAACTTCAACTCCCTCTCCTTTCTTTGTGTCTCCCTCAACACTCTTTTCTTTTTCTTTTCTCTCAACTTCTACCACCTCATTTTCAACATCATTCTCACTTCTCACCTCCACACCCTCATCTCTCTTTTGTGGCACATCTTCACTCATTACCGGACCTTCATACCCTCTCCCGGACCTCAATGTGATAGCCTTGACATGCTCCTTCGGGTTCACAACCGTTGAGATTGGAAATTGACCACTAGCATTGGAGGTAGAACTCCCAACTTGTTGTGCAATTTGAGCTAGTTGATTCTCAATTATTTTGTTGTGCGCTTGAAGTTGTTGGATGTTGGAGCTCATTTCTGCATTGCTCTTCCCTTGTTGATTTATGAAAGACTCAAGAGCGGCCTCAAGGGAAGTATTTTGGGGTGGAGGAGGTTGTTGGTTGAATTGATGTCTTTGTTGGTTTGGATGGCGGTATGGGGCTTGGTGATTTTGTTGATTTTGGTTGTAGATGTTTTGAGGAGGGTTGTTGTAGTTGGATTGTTGGTTTTGATTGGGTTGTCTCCACCCTTGGTTTTGTTGCCTCCAACCTTGATTGAAAGGTTGCTCATTTCTTTGGTTCACGGCCGCAACTTGCTCATTAGTAGCATTGCAATATGAAGCCATGTGATCATTACCCCCACAAGTCTCACAAGACATGACTTGTGGTTGTGGTTGTGAAGAGGAGGTACCGCTTGAGGAGGTTGCTTGGTCTAGCTTGTGAGCTAGCATATCAAACTTTGAGGCAATGAGATCTATTGCACTCAAACTCATGCA